TCTGTTTGTCACGCAGAAGAAGCTTAGGGCCTCTTCACTTGAGCCCGGTTGACCGGGCTGGCCAGGTTCCTAGATCTCGCTTTAAATAAATATATTATTTTTTAGATCTCACTTTACCTCCAAATCCTTTTTAAAATTTTCGATGTGTTTATATGAGAGGGCAGGCTGGCTTGGTTCCTGAGAACTCGGTTTTTCCAACCGGGATCTCAGTAAATGGGCTGGAAATGTTTTGCCATATGAATACATGAACAAAGCGGGATGAGTTCTGGCGGCCCTGATGGCATCGTCTCGCATTGCCTGCTGTACTTTCCACATCATAAACATCCCATTTAACTACGGTGATACAGCTTTAAGAGTTGATAGGTTCGAACGTTACACCACGTTTGCTTTGCTTTTCGAATTTCGCGCCAGAACCCTTCTCCGTGATCTTTGGCCTTTTCTCATCTCGAAAACGGACTTAAATTTCTCATATGTCAACCGAACTTATGTGAAGTGGCTCTTAGTCTGATAAGAAAAACGGCATGTGGTAGAATTTCCATTTCAATGTTGTTAACCAAGTCTCTCTTAAGTTTTGATCTTGAGAACTTTTGCTACATTTTAGGTTCATTGCAATAGAAGCCTTTATGCTTTACCGATGTATGAAGCCACTGGAGTGTGTGTTCCATCCACTCAGACTCGTCTCCCAAAGCTCTTTCAAAGGATGAGACAGCACTCCGAACAGATGTTGTGTCGGCGGCACTACATGCTAGCAGTGACGGCATTAGATGACTTCATAGGTCTGTTGAACCGCTGTTCTTGTCTGGTCTCTTTACTTGACTTATCCGTTGTTAAACATCACTGCGTATTCCAGTGACATAAATAGATCGCGTAAATTGGCAGTGTTTAAAACGTGTAATTGTGTTTTGGTTGTCCATTTTTTTAGGCGAAGTAATTACAAGCTCCAATGAACTCCAAACTTTAGACGTGTCCAGCCAGGTAGCACATACAAAAAGCCTGTGTATCTCAACACGTTCATTTCCACGATGACGTCTTTTTACTTCTAACACCAGAATTCGTTTCGTTGTTTTTGTTATTCGTATTTAAATTTGGCAATCTTGGTGACGTTTTATAGAACAAAAGCCCTAATTTACACAAGACACCAAAACCCTTAAGGATTCTAGTGGTGGTAGCAGTACCAGTAAAAAGACCCCATCGTGGCAAATCGCGTTTTGTCTGATTGTTTGATTAACAATGTTGTCGACCTTGCGATGTGGAACATACTTTCCACCTAAGAGGTTGTTTAAGAGAGTATTTTTTCTCGGTTTATGGACTAAAATTTCCCTGCCACAAAGGGGCGTAACTCCAACCTAAAAAGGTGTATTTTCTGCCTCTACCCCAAACCTTCCTTTCCAAGTCTTCCTCGGCGCACTTTACTACTTCGCGTTTTGCATTTCTCCAATGAAACCCAGCACTCCCTGGTCTCCGCTTGAGAGTGAGGCAGGTAGATTTGAACTGTTTTATGTATGCAAGATGTGAAGAGAATTTACCATTGATTTTTGTTCCAAACAGTAGGGGAAATATAGCCTTGACTTACTGTTTTATTAACCTTTTCTTTCAGCCAAAAGAAAAACGGGCAGAATTAAGTAAGCATATTCAACAACGGAAGCGGAAAAGCTTGTCAGATCTCTTCAAGATGTTGGCTTCTCTTGGTATGATAGAAGTTACTTTATGTAATTACACTACAAAAATAAAGCGATTCCAGCTCCATTACAATATTGTTTCCCCTTTAACATACCTTCTAATAAGAATAAATCGCTAAACCAGGAAGTCTTCTTGTCATTTTCGTGTAAGGGCTAAATTTAAAGTGATGTAGCTATAAGGCGCTCCTTTCCGAAGCATTTTAATTAAATCCGGTACAGATATTACTGAAGTGTCTGTAACTTAAGCTGTCCTGTTGGAAGGTTTGACGGTTTTATAGTGAAAAGTTAATCGTGGACAGCATTCTCCCGGGGGAATGTTTTGATGTTACAACGTCAAATGAGTTAGACGATGATGAATTTTGTCTTTTACTGATTTATCCATAGTCATCTAAGAACACTGCGTAAGTCTAAGCAAATTACAACTTTCAGTGCTGATAGTTCTTTGTCCAGTTAAATTCCGCAACGTGAACCTTGCAACTAAATGAAATGAGCAAATTTGTAAAGGTATTTATTTATTGAATGCCTTACAATCAGACCGAAACTTAGTATTTCGCGCGCTTCTTCTTAGCCTGAGAAAACAGCCAACATTTTCGCGACGCCACCACTGGTTTCCCCGCGAAATGACGTCTGAGAAACGAGCGCAGAAATTCCATACTGATGACGCGTCACTACCCAGATCTGGGTACTGTTTCTGATTGGTTAGAGCAAATTTCCCACGCGGTAGGACCAATCAGTAGAACTACCCAGATCTGAGTAGTGACGCATTATCAGTATGGAATTTCTACGCTGGTTTCTCAGACCTCATTTCGCGGGGAAACCAGTGGTGGCGTCGCGAAATGTCTGCTGTTTTGTCAGGCTAGGTTCTGCTTTGTATATGATTAAAAATGGATTATTTTCTAGGGGTGTCATACCGTAAGGGACTAACTCTTGAACGCCAGTGCACAGGGAAGGAAGCCATGTTGCTCGCTGCAGTTGATGAAAAAGCTATCACCAGATCATTTACGCTGCTCTCAGATAGATCACCGTAAGCACTCATAATAGTCACACAACATCGATTTATAGAAGTTGTGAAATACCTGACTTACCACTTTATTAGTTTTCACAGTGTTAGTTTTTTAATTGACATATAATAGAATTTCAGGTCAAAATTATTTTCGTTTCTTCAAATTGCCTTTGTCTAAATTGTCTTTATTCATTACAAAAATTGCGTGTTCGACCATCTTTGATATTAGGAGACTATCTTAAATAACAGGAGAATTAAAGGTCGTTGTTATCTTTGACCGTGTGAGCGCCATAAAAGTTGTTTCGTCCAGTGTTTTTAAATGATACCAATGTAATTGAACTTCAGAAATGCCAAAATCGTAGAACCCCAATCGTAGTGTGATTGAAGTGTAATCTGTTATTGTTGGTTATTTTCAGTGACTTGTTACATAAAGTACGTAATCTTTTGGATGGCTGCTGTCATCACTACCATAAGGCGCTAGCTAGGTCAGCGGCTTTCTCTGCTGCCATGGTAACGCCTTCAAAGGTGAGAAAACAGTAAATAAATTTTCTTTCCTTTATTGTTTGGAATTGGGAATAACCAATTACCCTGATTTTAGGTCTCTTGTCTTCCTTGGTTCGCCTACTGAAAAGGTAAAAAGGCATGCAATCATATTGTGTTTCAAGTCCTTGGTCCTTCGTGTGGACTTGTAACACGTCTACGTACAAATCCATGGCTATCCTATTTGGGTAGCAAGCTGGTCAAGCCTTTCATCAATGGTTAATTCGTTCTATTTGTCACTATACTCTATTACTTTTCTGGAATTAGAAAATATTCTGAACCTTTCAGCTTGTCGTGGATTAGTCAAGTAGCCTTGAAACAGTCACTGTGTATAGGTAATAATTGTGTTGTTCATTACATTTAGGAGCTCAGTGTTGGTGACATTGATCGTTGTAAGGGTTGCAGTCATCACCTGCTCAATATTTGTTATCAACAGAGAAAGTTCATAGCACAGTTCTCACAACACATCACCAGTGCAAGGTAATAGTTCACAACCTCGACTAACAACGTTAGTATTTCCACTGACCCAAGTTCTGATGTCATGCATTGTAGCTATCTATTTTCATCTATTTGTTTTTTAGCGTTTGTCTTAATCAGCTTGTGGAAAGCGTTGGCTTGCCAGATGATGATATAGACAGTACACATACATCGCTACCTCATCAAACTAAGCTGCAAGAACGAACAGTAAGTCAACAACGAACAACTGGTCATTTGCTGAGGTTTCTTTGCCTTCTAAACTTGTGCTTCTTAACAACTTATTTATTTACCAGCTTTTCTGGGAACAGGCCTGCCCAGTGGGAATGTGTACGAACGGGACTCAGGTCCCATGCGAGGTGCCATCCCTAGCCAATCCCACAACCCGTAAAGGTTGGCAACACCACCGGGGTCTACGACCCCTACTCTTTTCGAATAGTGATGTTAGTTCTTTTACGTCCCACAAGAACAAATCAGTGAAAGTGCTGTGAGACGGGACCTACGGTTTTTCGTCCTTACCCGAGAAGACTAGAAAGTCTAACCATTAGCAGATGTCATTATAAAGGCAGCACTTTCTTCGCAGTTATTTAAAGACCCTGAGTGTTGGTCCGGCCGGGGTTTGAACCCGCGACCTCCCGCTCGGCAGACCGGCGCTCTCCCAACTGAGCTAACCAGGCGGCGGTTTTTCTCCTGACACAAACATTTGCGTTTATGAACTGAATTGATGAAGTTCACTGGCCACCGTAGAAAATTTAGGAACTGGTGTTTCGTGCGCTTAAGCCCTTCCTTAGAGTAAATCATTGACGAAGGGCGACAGCTCGAGACTTCAGTTTCTCAATCCTCCTACGGTGAAATTTAGAGATTGCGTTGTGATGTGTTGATGAGCACAATATTGGAACCTTTTTTCATTTCGTAGGTGCGAGTGATGGGTCTTTTAACCCACACATCCCATGTGTTACAGCATATGTCCTTACTGATAAAGTGTTGTCCCAGTGATGTGTCCCTTCAGGAGTGGACACCTTTGCCGAAGACCATGCTGTCACCTCTGGCTTTGTCATCTTCAGATGATCAGCTTGTTACAGACGTCTCTAAGACTTTGGAGGTACGTTTGGTATTTTCCTATGAATAGTGCATCTTGGTGACCTTTGTTCAGTACAGCCATACGAGAATAAAATGATTAAATTTTGCAACTATACTGAACTGCCCTTCAACGTTAGTAATTCCTTGAATTAATTATTAGGCTTAGGTAAGGGAATACTTGATCAAGGAGCTAGAATGTAGATGATAAGATGCTCGACCAGTTGGTATATCCTTCCTTTAGCAGTTTGCAGGGCTCCTTGTATCGATCCACTCTTTGCGGACAAGTTAAGTGCTTTGAAGGCTTGTTTGTACCAGGCTCTATAGCAGAGCGATGGATTGATGTTTGGTTAAGCTACAGAATGACATGTAGTATATCCACATCGTTTATTTAGTTTCTTTAAAATTAGCATGCTATCTGTTATGACTGCTGTGACCTTTCCTCTCCGCCCGCCTCGTCTAGCTTTTGCTATTTGCGGGTGGAGATGGCAAAATGATGTGCATGAAATAAAGTATAGTGTGTGTGTGTAGTGTGTGTATAGTATCTTATCGAGCGGAATTAGTCAAGCATTAACTGGTCAAACGTTGAGTAACTTTCTAAGGACTTGAAGGAAACAATTATCTACCTCAAATTTAGAAGACACACAAAAAAACGACTCTGGCTTTCCAATAAATTAAATTCCACGTGGTAATCAGTTTTGTCTTGTTTTCTTTTCTAAATTTAAGGACTCCGTGACAAAAGTGCAACAGCTTATTCAACATGTCCGGCCTTATGCTGCAGTGTCTGATCACATGGTGAACAGTACTGGCCGGGATGAGATGACAACTTTCATAGCTTCTTGGTAAGTTCTATGTTTTTGCTTTTTTTTATTTCAAGAATATCAGAGGGTTTCATTTCTCAAAGATTAGTTAGATTATGCAGGTTTCTGAGGCGCGTTACCCCGCGACGGCATTCTTCCAAACCCTTGTAATTCCGAATTCAGTTCAGGTACGAGAAGGAAGGGCGCTTTCCATTCGACAAAAATTGCTGTTTGAAATCTCGGGAATTTCATGTGCCCAGTGGGACGGTACATTCGGGTTGCACGGACCCGACACAAGTTATTGCGCTTTTTGTTATTGTACTTGCAAATAGGATCATACAAATGAGTGGTAGTGGGAACAACAATTTTGTCAAATGGACAGGCACATTTTGGCAGTCCAACCGACAGAAATGACCAGACCGGTCAATGTAGACCACCTTCAAAGGTGGTCTCAAATATTTAGCTCGGACCGAACCGCACTGGTTCGTTCCATTTGATTTCTGATGGAATATTCCGGTATTTTGGGCTGAATGGAAAGCGCCAAAAGCGTCTAACAAGGAAGACTCGGAAGTAAGAATTCAACGCGAGTGGTTTCATTGATATGCTGGTAAGCAAAGGTTTAAAGTAAGAGAACACAATAGACTGTCGCAAAGAGTAATCTATTTCTCGGGACCTTTTCACCTTTATTCTGGTATGGTGTGGCCACAACACTTTTAGCCTCATTCGCAGAATTGTCGATATGAGAAGGGCCTTAACAAGCTTTAGTGAATGGTCAATCTGTAGTACTTGATTTTGCGAAGTCACCCAGTTGTTTGTTTCTTTTATTTGTCTTGTGTTTTTTTTGTCATAGGCGTCAGTTTAGAGTGGTATCAGATGCGTTTATCAAGATTGAGGGCATTGCGGAGTTGATCGATGAAATGCTACCGAAATTTGCGTCAAAGTGGTGAGCTGTTGAAGAACCTGGTTTCAAGAGGCTGTTGTTATCATTGGACTTAAAAAATGTTCATAAGATTTCTAGTTAGACATTAGTATGGTCTTATAAAGTGTATGATCGAGTCAGTTGTGATGTCTAGAGAATCTGTGTTAAAATTCAATAGTGTTAGTAATGGTAACAGGACTGAGTGTAGTCCAATTCGGTCTGTAATCATACGAGTGATTAACAAAATCGGACGACCGCGCAGCGGGAGTCCGATTTGTTTAATCACGAGTATGATTACAGACCGAATTGGACTCCACTCAGTCCTGTTACCAATTAATCATAACTTTAACAAAATTTGTGATATAATAGGCTATTTTTTAAATCAAAACACAAGAAATTCGAAATTTTGTTTTGCTAGCAGTGAAAAAAAAAAAAGTCATTTAAGCGCGCGCGTGATGGCGCGTACTGTCCAATTACTTAGGCATGACGCGTACTGTCCTATTAAACTGTCCAATTAAGGCTGAAACCAGGGCAGTTGATAGCCAATCAGATTTGACAATTTTGTTATAGTTATGATTAAATAAGAAATAGCATTTAGGTGTTTACGATTGTCTTTGTTATTGTAAACATATTTTTCGCCTTTTTTCCAGCTGTAGTATCGAGAAAGGCCTAGGTGGCTCGCTTGTCGACCTCAAAAACAAGATTAGGAGCGAATGTAACGAATTCAACACTTGGAGGCTCAAAACACTAGCCGAACGAGGAAGAGACGGAAGTAATGAAGAATGTTTTAACAAGGAAGGTAAGTATTTATCAACGCATTTGCTTCTCGTTGTAGAAAAAGGATAAGAGTGTCAAAATGTACTGTTTCGTTTTTCCTCAGTTATGGTTACAGTCGACACATTTCTGAAAGAGCTAGACGCCGTGAACACATCGCTTCTGTTAGGCATTCAAAAGCTGGCAAAAATAGCGGAAAGCAGGAGCAGTGAAAGTACGCAAGAACAAGAAACTGCAGATTCAGGTAGACGTAACAGACACTCTATTAATTCCTTCTCTTCTCCTTAACCTGATAGGATACATGGCTATTCCGCGTTTCTTTCCTCTTTAGTCCATTAGTAGCATTTTTTTTTACACAAAAGCGGTTAAAACTGTAAACCTTTTAACAAGTTGTTCTTCTTAAACCGTGACAAAAGACGGATCGAAACACCAATGATACAAAGGGTGTTCATAATCAATAACATCACGGCTTAACTGACAGACGACCTAACACAGCGGCTTTATTGACCATTCAGCCCAATATCCAGAGTTAAATACCTTTAACTGACGTGCATCAACTCACTTTGACTCTAAAGATAACTACCTCAAGGGTTGTCGACAGGTCAGTTATCGTCAACAACAGTCCTATTGCGGACTACGCCCACCAGGACGATCATATTCCACCTACTTATGAGGTTGTTCTTTTCACGCCAGATGCTGACGTTGGAAGTATGGAACTCCTAGACGGACACTTGACGATGCGTCTCCATCGTGACCTACTAGATGAGATAAACTGTCTTGGTTTAGAAAAAGTGACGAAAAGTATATCCGATCTCATGTCTCAGCTGAAAAACATGGCTGATTGCACTGGGTTGGCTTCAAATGCACCTGATCAGCTACCATCCATTAGCTTGTGTGCACAGCTTTTTGGAGCCACCATCCCTCTTCTTCATCAATATCTGAACATATCGCAGCATTTTCTGGTCAATTTGCTGGCAGCCCACCGCGTCACCAGCAAACTTTTATCGGTTCTTCTCAGCATTTTTACCGACCTGGTCTCAAAAGGATTCTGTCTCCCCCCGGAAATAGAAGAAGGTGAAGGTGACGGAGCCACTGAATTCGAGGATATTGAAGGGGGAGGCATCGGGGAAGGAGAGGGGATGAAGGACGTCAGCGATCAAATCGAGAGCGAAGATCAGGTTAGTTCTTACTGTTTTCTCTTACATTCATAAGAATCGCGCTATTACAGCCATCAGTTGTCTCGCTGAACTTATTTCAGAGTCTCCGACTTTAATGTATATATGTTTTTTTTTACTAATTACGGTCTCGTAAAATAGGTAGAGTGAGGAAGAGTGCTAGAGTAACTCCAATTTTCAAAGCTGACTCGAAAGTTGACCCAGCCAATTACAGGCCAATTTCTGTCCTGTCTGTAATTGCCAAACTCTTTGAAAAAGCCATCTTTAATCAGGTTTATTCATATTTAAATGATAATAAGTTACTTTCGAAATATCAGTCTGGCTTTAGACCTATGCACTCTACCCTTACAGCTCTTATTGACATCACCGACAACTGGTATCTCAATATCGACGATGGTTTGACAAATGCCATTCTGTTTATTGACTTGAAAAAGGCTTTTGATACTATTGACCATGAGATCCTTCTGTCAAAATTGGAGCTGTATGGGTTTAAAGGTGTGAGTCTCAATCTTTTCCGAGACTACCTCTCCGATAGAACTCAGGTTACAGTTATAAACAACATAAATTCCGAAACTAGCTTCATAAGTTGTGGGGTGCCTCAAGGTTCAATCCTCGGCCCCCTACTATTTCTATTATACATTAATGATCTCCCTAACTGTAACCTCCTATCGGATGAGAATGTATGCCGATGACACTAATCTTACGTTTGCCTCCAAAGACCCTAATGAGTTGTTTTCATCCCTAACTCATGATTTGGGCGATCTGAAGCAATAGCTCGATTCTAACCGTCTAAGTCTTAATGTCCTCAAGACTAAATGTCTGTTTACAGGCACGAGGCAAAAAATCTCTTTGCTCCCTAGCGATCCACGCATATCCCTCGACGGGCATTCAATTGAAAGAGTCAATAGTTACAAATGCCTAGGCGTTCAGGTTGATGAAACACTCTCGTGGGAGGCTCACATCTCCGAAGTCAACGGTAAAGTTGCAAAAGTACTAGCTGCCCTGAGGAGGCTAAGACCAATATGTCCCCAGAGTACCCTTGTCACTATTTACAAGTCATTGATTCTTCCGCATCTCGATTATTGCAGCGCTGTCTGGGGCTTTATCGGTAATGGTCTCAGCCAAAAACTAGAGAAGCTTCAAAACAGGGCTGCACGCATAATTACAGGGTCTAGCTGGGATGCCAGCTCTGCCCCGATTCTTCATGCCCTTAAATGGGATAGCCTCGCTGACAGACGTGTTAAGCAACTGAAATCTTTAATGTTTAAAACTGTAAATAACCTTGTACCCGAATACCTGTCTGATAAATTCGCCAGCATTAATACCATCACAGGCATAATCTTCGAGGTGCGCAACATAACCTGTTTATTCCGCGACCGAACAGTGAGGCCCTAAAGAAAAGTTTTCGTTATAGGGGCGCAGTAACATGGAACAGCCTGTCAGCTGAGGCTAAGCAGGACACTACTTTAAATTGTTTTTATTCCGCTATTGTACATTAAGATTTTCTTAGTAAGCATTTATTATAGGACTTTTTCAATAATGTTTGTTATTTTTAAGTCTTAGTTTAATGTGCACGGCTCTTTAGAAGACCACTTTTTAGTGATAAGGATTCCGTGGTTAAATAAAGTTATTACGTACTTACTTACTTACTTTTACTATAACAGACACAAATTATTGGAAAGAGCTCGCTATAGTAACTACAATTGAAATTCAGTACCATTTTATCTACAATTTTGCAATTACGTGAAACAATGTGTTGCCTAACGTTTGCAAAAGAAGGAGAAATAGAACTGAGTTGAATGCCTACTTTATAGTTATCGTGGACACACGTTACAAAAACCAAGACGATAACAATTTTTTTAGTTTCGGCTCTTCATGAATTATTTATTAGGTCATTATGTCCTTTATTCCTTTGAAGATCATCTTGTAAGGCTCGTGCTGACTTCTCTTGTTTTGTCTTCTGAATGTTTGACTTTCTTTTGCTTAATGGGCTATTTGCATGATGACGTCATTTTACTTCTACTAAGACTACTAAGACTGTCGTGCAAATGGTCTATTTGTTTGATTTCTAGTCTTTGTCTTAATGATGCGATTGATAAGGCATTTATATTGTTGTTCATTAGCTCGAAGACGCCAGACAAGAAGGACAAGAACAGGATAAGAAAGAAGAACAACAGCAGCAAATTCCTGACGAGGAAAACGGTATTGAGATGAGTGAGAACTTTGATGGTGCCTTACATGACGTGGAAGCAGGAGACAACGAGGAAAGTGAGAAAAGCGATGAGGAAAACGAAGAGGAGCCTGATGTGGATAAACAGATGGGAGAAGTGGATGGACAGGAAACTGAAAAACTGGATGAGAAAATGTGGGGAGATTCAGATGATGAGGAAGAACAAGAGGTAACGTTGTAAAAGCACTGATCACTGATACTTTGATAAAAGCGAAATAATTCACGAGGAGACATTTTTTTCTTTTATTTGAAGAGCAAAGCCATTTCGTTGGATTAGTTACTTGTTAATCATTGAGTTGCTTTAGGGCTGTTTTCTATCTTGCCAACTTAGGAATAGTAGTTATTTAAAGTAAGAAAAATATTTAGTTGTTTGATAAGATATAGTAGGCTTGTGCTGATTAATCATACTTGTGATTTCAAAATCACGCGTATGATTTCAGTCTTAATTACACTCCACTCAGTTCAATTACCATTATAAATAAGTACAGAGTATTGTTGCCATGGTAATACGGTGCGTTATTGACAGGAAAAAGAAACAAAGGAAGAAAAAGGAACTGGAGCTGAGGCTACATCGCAGTCACAGTTGGTCGCCAAGGAAGACAACAAAGGTAAGCCGTTTAACCTCAAAAGGAAGTCGTGTTAACATCCCTTCAGTATCTCAAGAAGGGCAGTTAGATTCCAATGTCTCCATTCTTTTGTCTTCTGCAACTTGTTTGCTTTTCTGTATCTCTATTTTCGGCTTTGACAAACCTGAATTTACGTCTGTGGGAGTATAATGAAAACTAAAAGTCAATCATATCGTAAAATTGACCAACATTTGGAGAAAAAACTTTAGTAAAGCCGGAGTCTTCATCGTTTCATGAACAGGATCTACAGATGAGAGTAAAGAAAAGGCTGATCAGGACCCCGATACTAAAGACGAGCAGGATAACGATACATTTAATAACGCTCAAGACGATGAAGAGGGGAATATGGTTGATGAGGCGGAGGGAGACGAGGAAGGAACGGGGCAGCCAGAACAACAAGAAATGCAAGATGTGGAGGAGGAGTCTGCTAACCTTGATCTTCCAGATGATTTGCAGCTTGATGAAGAGGGAAACGAACGTAGTGACGGTGAGTAATGCATATATAAATTTTTTTTTATTATTTCTATTCGGCTTCTGTATTAGTAAAGTGTTTTCGAAAAGAGAAGGCGTGAATCTTCCTATTTTTGCACGTGCTATATTAGTTGACAACCATTTTTCATCTTTGAAGGACAACCGGAGGAAATGGAAACAAGTGATTTCGAAGGAGATGTGACAGATGTGACAGAAACTGAAGATGAATCCATTGTACAAGGTGACGAGGAAACGGATGAAAAAGGAGAACAAGATGAGACAAAGATGGAGGATGAAGAGAACATTGACGGTAAAGACAAACAGGAAGATGGAGAGAATTCAAAGGTTGGTAGACTGCTGTTCAACGTTCCCAAAAAAACATCAGTAAGGACGAGTATTCGAACGCTTAAGCTCATAACGTTGCGAAAATCTTACTAGTTGGCATTAAGACTACACTCAAACTTTGCGTTGTTGAAGGCCTGGTTAGTTTTTCCATTCGGTTGTATCAAGGCAATCGGATATTGTAAGGATCTAGAAGAGTAGCTGGCCTTTTCAGATGTTGTGAACCATTTGAAGTATCTTGAAGATAGTACTAATCATGATGAAAGGTGAAAGAGAAGGGAAGACGTGTCGGACAGACGTGTCTTTGGTACTTCTAATTTTTACGATGATCGATATTTTTCTAGGATGAAGAAGCTGATGTTGAAGACCATGAAGATGACTGGAGAACGAAGGCGGATACTAAGGTCAGATTTGCGTATAACAGCTCCTCGAACGACCCTCGGTTTGTGGTTTTTAAACCTGCTTTGCCCGATGATAGCCTAACGTTCATTATACTTTTCTGCCACATCAGTTCTTAGACCATACCTTTTATTCTCCTTGGCTTTCTTTGAAAATTTCTTCCTCAATTTTTCTCGGCAAAGAAGGAATAAATTATCATATATTAAAGTTTCCTTTTGACAGAATTTTGGAATCATAGTACGTAGGTTATTGATGTTGGTATACCGCCACAACCTTATGAATTGGATCCGGTTAGATTAGAAGGAAAATGATAACAATTTTTGAACACGCGTCGTAAACACGTGACACTTCTTACGACGGAAGTTCTGTTTTATTCCAGAGCCAGCCTCAGGATAATGTTCAGGCCGTGGAGGATTCTGGGGAAGGTGATGGTAGTGGGGAACAAACTGATATCACCGCTGGCCAGTCTGAATCGACAGACGGTAATGAAGATCGAGGAGTGGGACGAGCTGAAGCAGCTAATGATGAAGGGCATCATGGGGAGTCAAGCGCAGTACAAGCTAGTGCAGACACCAGTCAACAGGTCAGCGAACGTAGCCCTAGATATCTGCGCTAGTTATTGCCTGTTCATTTTTATTTTTAATGCTTAATATGGGACTCTGATAAGAGCGCCTTTAACCATGGTCCGATATCTTTACTACTACCTCAACAGGGCAACAACAACGAAAGCAAAAAACAAAACAAAACAAAAAAACGTTATTAAAGGACAAAGGATTAGGCCAACAGAGGCGACAGTAGAGCAACACAACAGGACATTCCATCTTAGTTTGTTTCTTGCATGATTTATTGTTTCATCGAGTAACATTATGTGGCGTGAACAGGGGGAAGAAATGAAAGGAGTTATCAGGCCTATAGACGAATATCAGATTACACAAGAGACTTACACAAGAGAAACGAAAAAGGCCTTGAAAATAGAAAAAATTACAGAGAGGAATACAGAACAATGCAATGGTTAGTAATAGATTAAGTGACATAGGATAACAGCCTCCTAAATCTGCATAATTGTCAGTTTTATGTAGTCTCATTTAATACTTCTTAATTGTTTATTTTGAATTGTCACAGTCACGTCAGAGAAAGCAAATGAACCGTGCTCGGTCCGACAGAAGACTGGGCTCCATGGATGAAACTACTCACAAGAGACTCAAGACTGTCGATACAACACAGCAAGAGACTGGAACTGAGGTGGCATATTGATTCTGAGAAAAAACGGATCATTGTACGTGCCTGGGAAACTGCCCACCTACCCCTCCCCTAAGTCAACATTTTGCCCTAAGTGAGAAGTATCTATTTATGTTGGCTTAGGGGAGGGGTAGGTGGGCAGTTTCCCAGAAACGTATAATTATCCGGTATTGACCACTCCAGAGTATACCGTAACATACCATAATACTCTTTCTTGGACACTCCAAAATTTTGCAGAAGCATTGTCTTCAGTTTCGCTTGGGAGTTAAAATGGCCCTAAGAGAAACTGGAAACAATGCTTACGTTAAAAATTTTGGGGTGACAATCAAAGAGCATTATGGGATGTTATGGCGTTTTCTGGAGTGGTCAATTGTCGTTAAGGGTAAAAACAAGTTTCAAAGAATTTACAGCGATTTACTTTATGAATATAACTTGAAAACGATGTTGGTGATCATCTCTCAATGTACTTTCCGTTTTGTTATCAGATGTCATTAGTGGTATATTCTTACATTTTGAATTTAGCCCAAGGAATTACTCCCTTATATTTGCCTTACTGGTATGGGCCGCCCCAAAGGGTGTGTTTTTTTGCGCCGTTTTGGTCTGAATTCGGGTATGGTAATTTCTGCCAGGTCTGAAAACGGGTATGGATTTTAGAGGTGTGGTCTGAAAAAGGCAGTGGAAGATGACACCTTTTGGTCTGAAATAGGGTCAGGATTTGGAGAAGCGGGCTGCACACCCCTACCATGAATTCTCAGGAGTACCCCCTCCCGGGGAATTTAGGAGACAATTGGGCTCTAATCTACGTAAGATTTTATAATGTCGTGTACCAGAACGACTATTATCTAGAAACTTGGTGAGAATCAGGAAAGAAAATTTTGCAAACGTTATATGCACGTGTATTATTGTCGAGCGACTGTCGAGCATAACGACTTTCTTCAGAAGGTGCGTCTGCGAATTTCACTGTAAAGAAAAGATTAGATAACGCTGCTTACTTAACTTCATTTCGCGTTTTTTGTATTCCATTTTTGAATTTTCACTCCCTCTTTCCTCGATCATTCAGTTGTACTCGGCCGCAATTTGTGTATATTTTTTGTTCGCAGACGAACGAGACAAGAAGCCAAGATCTGTTTGAGCACATGCAGAGTGATGATTCATCTACCCACGATGCGCAGACGCTTGACAGTGCAACCGCTGATCAAGCGAAAGAACAAGAGAAAGCAAACTTCCCTGATACGTATAGTGATACCGAAGATGATGATACTGAAATGAAAACAGCGCTGTTCGATGATAAAGAGGAACTCCCTGTAAGTGTTTTTTTTTTTCCATCCTCGGTTTGTGTTTGTGTATTTTTTTTTTGTCTGAACAGCTTATCGTTTGTGTCACGTCAGGTACTTGTTTTTGCTACTTCTTATTAATTGTTGTGTTTTGATCGCTCACTCATGGTCTTCATATGGTGATGTTATCGATTAACTCTTGGCGTTCATTAGTACCACCTTGGTTGTAAGTGATTGGTGTATTTCGATCTTGAATGTAGTTGCTAATGGCTGGTGGACTTCGATCCCCATTTTTCATGCACTATCAGTCACTTTACGTCTAATTACCCCGCACAAGACCATATAGACCAGAAATATCGCGGCCAATATCAAAGTGACTGAAATGGAACAAACGATAAACTTAGCTGTTTATCTAAAACGCGGTAGATAACACCTCTTATTATGTTTATTCAGACATTGGTGGCCTTCAATAACGTCTGTTATAAAGTTTAACACATTGTTTATAATCACTACGCGTTACAGAGATTACAACCTAGTTCTGATTGCCAATTCTTTCCAAATACTGAAGGCACCAGACAATCCCCAGCAGACCATGTTACCGCCTCCAAATAAACCAAAGATGGATGCGGTGGGGGACGAAGATGAACAGGAAGTAGCAGATACGGCGACCAAAGAAGAAGACATGCAAACTATTGAAGGTGGAGAAATATCCACTGAACTCTTGCAGAGTACTTTTCATTCCTCAGAAGTGGCGCTGGCTTTTGAGAGACTGGTAAGATAATCTAACTGAACTTAAACTAGATAAAAAGTGAAAAGCTGTCCTTTTAAAATTCAAAGAAAAAGATCGCTCGCTTAATTTTCTTAAAAGACAAATAGTACCTTGCAGTAGTACTTACGAAGAGATTTCATTTTACTCTCGGTTATTGCTTAATCGTATCACCATAATTAACTTTATATTTGTCTTAACTGCACCTTAAAAAGAAATTTCGTTAATGACTCATTAGAACCAACTTACATAACCAAATATGCAAACGAAATAGACCCTTTCAGTTGGTTTTGTTTCTTTTTTTTCTCAAATTTCAGCCTATGTAGAATTCCTCCCAGCCTACTGTTTCTTTCAAATGTATGGATAACTTGCGAAAAGACAAAAGGCAAATTTTACTGGAAACGTCAAGTGGTCTTAGTTGGGAAAACAAAACATAGGAGCTAAAAAAGTTTTTGAAAGGCACTGCCAAATGCAGAAACACTGAAGGATTTCATCTAGTTAATAAAAATTGGGGACCAGCTTATACAATTCAATCACGCTTTCCCTTTTTCCTTTTAAAATTTCGTTAACGGACTCAATTTTTAAGTCCGTTACATGCAACACGGATATCAGTACTAGAGCAAAATAAACGGCGTCAGACCAAGTAACTTTAATCTCGTATTGTGTTAAAGTAAATACTTTTTTTGTTTGTTTTTATTTATTTTTTTCGTTTCCTGCCTAGCAGCTTTCATATGAACTATTTCTACGCGAAAAATAGACCAAATACCGGCTTCAACTGTTCAGACATTGAATGTGTTGCTAGGAATACTGCTCAGTCATTTTCTCTCTTTTGAAGGGTATATCGTCATTGGACCCTGAAAAGCTGAGATTGGATCTCGAACATCAGTTGGCTGAGTGGACCAGCCTTGAACGAGGTACGACGGAGGAGCAACGCATCGCTCAAGAGACCTGGCGAAAATACGAACTGCTCACCTCCAGTCTCTCTCAGGAGCTCTGTGAGCAGCTGAGACTGGTACTAGAACCATCATTGGCTACAAAACTCAAGTAAGTTAGTTATATATTTGAATATATTTATAACCATTTGTCGTTTGAACCGCCTAATTCCGCTTATCACATTTTTTTCATATTCTTTAATACTGTGGAGAAGACGCTTAATGAAGTGGCTAAAACGTAAACTACGATCTAAAAGCCAGAGTCATTGCCGGACCTTTGGCAGATGTACAACTTACATAGTATAAACGTTAAACAGCAAACTGATCCTTTCGGCGAGGGAACACCACAAAAAGTCGGTAAAAGCTGAGTGGAAAATCGCAATATTCTAAACCTTAGACCACTGCGGTTTTTTCACTCAGCTTTTGACTAATTTTTTAGGAAAAAAGTATATCTACAAGTTAGAGAACCGTAATGTACCCGGCGTGTAATGAGACTGCATCTACCCTTTGTGAAAGTTCATTTTTTGGGGATGGGGTGCTTCGCATTCTTTTCGGGGTGCGTGTTTACTGGTAGTAATGGTGGGGGCTGAAAAGCAGCGAGCAGTCCCGAGGTGACTTTGCTTAGTGGTATCTTCTTAGTACTTGGGAAGGTATTCTTTATCACGTTTCTATATAGCACATTGTTAGTTTACAACAGAATTTTGAACTTGCTCATTGCAGAGGTGATTATCGATCAGGAAAGAGGTTGAACATGAGGAAAGTGATTCCATACATTGCCAGTCAGTTCCGCNTGTAATGAGACTGCATCTACCCTTTGTGAAAGTTCATTTTTTGGGGATGGGGTGCTTCGCATTCTTTTCGGGGTGCGTGTTTACTGGTAGTAATGGTGGGGGCTGAAAAGCAGCGAGCAGTCCCGAGGTGACGTTGTTTAGTGGTATCTTCTTAGTACTTGGGAAGGTATTCTTTATCACGTTTCTATATAGTACATTGTTAGTTTACAACAGAATTTTGAACCTGCTCATTCCAGAGGTGATTATCGATCAGGGAAGAGGTTGAACATGAGGAAAGTGATTCCATACATTGCCAGTCAGTTCCGCAAGGACAAGATCTGGCTGAGGAGGACTAAGCCGAGTAAGAGGCAGTACCAGATCATGCTAGCTGTGGACGACTCCTCTAGCATGAATGATAATCACTCCAAACAGGTAACGCGTAATTTATCACGTTTCATCTAGGTACGTTGGTATGCTTAAGAGAGAACGCAACTTGACAACTTTACAGGGAAATTCTACTAACAGTTTCAGAGTTGTAATGATTATGACGCGACACTTCAAGCAACTACTTCACGAAAGAAAGAAAATCACCCTAACAAGAGAACTGTTCTAGGACATATTTTGAGGTGAATACTCACCACTCGTCTATTACAAAATGTTAAAGATGTCGAAAACTATTTATAGTCAGTCTTGAAATATGTTGTTTGAATTTCTCTATTTGTGTTGTTCAGTTGTTTTTCATATGTTTTATATTTCATTCCGTGATTTTAGCTGGCGTTTGAGTCTTTAGCAGTGATCAGTAATGCACTAACAAGACTGGAGGCTGGAGATCTCGGTGTGTGCAGGTGAGTGCAAAATTAACTTTGTTATATTTGTTGCATTGGGGGAGTGCAGTTTTGGCTGTTTGCTTCAGCAAAAGGAATGC